TTCCCATATAGAGCCCAGACCCAGCCCTGATAGGCATCCGAGAAAGAGATTAGATACTCAAGACAAGAATGTCAAAAGAAAATACACACGAGTAGAGGACCAAGAAGAAGTCTAGAAGCTCTTTACAACTAAGGAGCTTGATAGCAGGTTAAAGCGCCCGAACAAAAATCCATCAGGGAATTGTCAAGGAGAGTCATGACACCATCTATGGGAAACAAACCCATGATTACATGACAAATTGAGACCTTGAGACTAAATGATGATCGATATGTAGGATGGGATCTAAGCAATGTGTGAGCAACTCTGCACCAAAGGTCTCGATCACCGAATTCCCAAACCTTTCATAAATTGGGGAAGTTCACCCTTAATTCAAGGACTTTTCCTTTCATCTTTTGCACCTACCAAGAAGAAAAATATGAACCCACAAGTCAGAGCAAGGAATAAAGAAAGCAATGGGGAAATGCAAACGCCATTGGTCATTATTTGGGGCATATTCTTCCTAGGGATAGTTGTAGCAGGGTTCCTCACCCAATTGATGTTCCCAATTGCCCGAAACAAACAAGGAGATGGGTGACAAGGTAGTGATTGATACTTCTAACTCTAAAATAGTAGTTGTTCTTAGATGTATGGGTGATAATGTAATAGTTAAAAGATGTCCCAAAGCCCTAAATTAGTCCCCAACAGGTCATTCAAAGCAAATACACCCATTACAATCATAAAGAAGTTGAGGCAATATTGGAGCAAACATAGCTTTAAGGCATTCAGAACCCTCAACAATAGATGTTGAAAAGGAAACCTAACTCCACCTTCTGTGATAGCCATTTTGGGAAAGGGTATCCTATACTTGAACCCTACCATAGGTCTATCCTTAGCAACCTCGATGATCATATCATTAGGGATGGAGTACCTGACTCTAAAATTTGGGATTTGCTCCTTCTCAAGCGTACCCATAGTAAAAGAAGGAAAGGAAATAATAACAAGAAGAGAGAAATGAAAACTTACAGAGATCTCTAAGGGCGCAAGGGAACTTTGAAAATATAGAACTGGTGAAAATAGTAGAAGAAATAAGAACGGAAGAGATGACCATTTTCCCATTGAAAGGACACGAACAACATATTTTTGTGAGAAATGAAATGAGACTATTAAATGAAGTAAAATGATTACATGCAGAGAATCTCTCCTAATGTGCCAAATAGAAAATATTCTCTAAGAGTAAGTGAAGGGGACCAGAATCTCTGAACTCTAACATGACAGTTATATTAAGAGACATGGTAGGATCACGTGCAAGATCAATTGATCTGTTCGATTATGACCGAGAAAACTACGGACTCGGTAAATTAAGAAATGCTTGGTCAAGGAGTTACCGAGCAATAGACTATGTTCCACAAGCAAAGTTTGACAAGATAGGCTGGAAAAATAAGTTCTGAGGAACTGAAGTGGAGGCACGATTAAATAATAAGACCAAACCAAAAAATAACTAGCCTAACCCAAGTAATCAAGACAAGAACGGTGATAGACAGTCACTAAAAGAAATTGCATACGTACGCATTAGAAACAATTTCTTACGTTGCACTACAAGCCAAGCAAAGTCCCCTTCATGCTTGTGCTTAAATCATTCAATCTGCGCATGCAATCTATCCGTCTCTTGTTGAGAGTGTGCCATGACATCTATCTGAAAATTCTTTATTTTTTTTCACCACCCAAAAAAAAAAATCTTTATTTTTTTAAATATGTTGTTATAGTATTTTGTTACCAATCAATAAACAAACTTAAAACCTTGTATACTTCCTTGCCAAAATCTACTACTTTTCATTATCGTAGAGATTAGAGGGTGTTTGTTCATAGTATTTAATTATCACTGCGAAGTGTTGAACTTTTGCTAACTCATAAAAACTCTAAAGAAAAGGAAGCAATAAACGTTACTTCGTGGGCATACAGATCTCAAGGACATGCTTCATCGACGATTTTTTAGTGGTTAAAGTAAAACTACGATGTATAAGTTACAAGATGTATATTCAGTATAAAAAAAGTTAAAGTATTTTTGTTAAATATAATTTCACATTAATGCCATTAATTGATCATGATGATGCATAAAATAGACTTATTAAAGATTAATAATCGAGTGTGTGATAAATTGTCATTAATGAGATAATTAATAAAACAATTAATAATAAAAAGGTAAATATCTGGTTAACATACAGATATATAGTGGTTCAGTCTAAGTGACTTATTCCACTCTGAGAAACGACAACGGTGACCAAATAGTCTTTATTAATGGATAAAGTAAGATAGAAAAGCTTTGGGAGAGGTGTGCTTTGGTACAAGTACATTAGGTAGGAAAGATAAAACCTATGTGAGGGGTGTGTAGAGAGGTGTAGAGATGTGTGAAGATGTGTCTCTCTCATATGAAAAAGACTTATAATTTATAGGGGTGAAGTCTTGGTTGAGGCGATGATGTGCGGGTAAAAGCACTAGTCATAAGTATAATTAAAATTGTCTAGATCTTCGAGAGTAGGTATCCCAATGATCTCTCTCTCCCACGTGCTCTTATCTTCCTAGACTCCTTGAATCTTGGAATGGATCGGATTGATGAATCGGACTCTGCTTGTCTTTCTAGTGGATTTGGGCTGAATTAATTTATTGGGTCTGACCCAATTAAATTTGGGTTCGTCAGATCAAATTATCAAAAAGGTAACAAAGAAATTTCAAATAAAAAGAGTGTATTTGAAAATATGAAAAAACCTATAAAGGATTGAAATAAAAACTGACAAAAATTGTTAATAAAATTTCAATTAGGATATGGGGTGTCCCTAGATTAATGTCTCTTTATAGACAGAATTAATAATCGATTTGAGTATTGCAAGTTTGAGTCGAATCTAAAAAATTGTTCAAGTTCAACTTATTTAAAAAATAAATTGAGCCGAATTCAAGTAATTCGATTATTTTATATATAAATAAGTCAAGTTTTACAAGTTCAAGTCAAGCCTTTTTAACTTGTTTTTTAAACGAATCTAAAAAAAAATGTTTAAACTCGGCTCATTTATTTAAACGCGAGTCAAGTTTGAGTTGAATCCTATTCGAACCGAGTCCGAACAACTTAACTTAATCAACTTAACTCAATTATTAGTCCAATCTATAGATAAAGTTGAAAAAATGTCCCTTTTTTTTTAAAGAAATTCAAAAAATAGATTATTTTTTAACATCACTTACATTAAAACAAATTTTCGTAGTCTTCGAAGTTAATGTGGAAGCTTAAAAAATAAAAGGGAGAATTACACTCAGATTTTTTGAAGTTTGTTACTTAATCACTTAGATTCCTTGACATTTAAAATATTATATACAAACCCCCTGAAATTTGTACGCGCGTAACACATAGACTCCTGACGTAAATATATCATTTAATAAATTATACTTAAACCCCCTAAAATTTGTAAGTATATAATATTTAGACCTTTAAGTTTAAAATATTATACTTAGATCAAAAATACTTCAATCAAATATAAAATATAAAATATTTTAAATTTTATTGTATCATTTATTGAAATAAAATTAAAATTAAAATTTTATTTTTTCTTAAAAAATTGTAATTAATATACATTTATACTATCTATTGGAATAAAACTAAAAAATCAAACAAATGGTCTAAGTCATTCATAATAGAATATGAATTTTACATCTAAAATTCATGTTCTATTATTTCATTTTATTGAAATAAAATCAAAAATAAAAATTAAGTTTTTTTAAAAAAAATTAAAGTTATTATATAATTATACTATCTATTAAAATAAAACTAAAAAATTAAATAAGGGGTTAAACTGTAATGGACACAATATCTTTTAGTTTTAATTGGGGTAGTTTGGTATTTAATTTGATTATTTAAACGACCAAATTAAATTCTAATAGACAATATAATTGTAAACTAATTATGATTTTTTAAGAAAAAAATTGAACTTTTATTTTTGATTTTATTTCAATAAATGATAAAATAGAACATGAATTTCGATTGTAAAATTTAAAATATTTGATATTTTATCTTTAATTGAAGTATTTTTGGTCTAAATATAATATTTTAAACTTAAGTAGTCTAAGAATTATATACTTACAAACTTTAGAGGTCTAAATATAATTTATTAAATGATTTATTTAAATAAAGGTTGTAAGTGTTATGCGGGTACAAATTTTAAGAGGTTTGTGTGTAATATTTCAAATATCAGGCATATGAGTGATTAAGTGACAAATTTCAAAAGATCCAACTGGATTTCTCCCAAAATAAAAATAAACACATTAACGAACCAATTAGTAGCCGTAGGACGGACATAGTTAAGCTTCGGAACAGAAAGTAAAAACCCGTTACACTAAAACGCGCAAGCGTGCGTCTTACGCACCCTTAAAAACCTTTTCTTTCCCATGTGCAGCATGCGTACTATGCACTCCCTTACAATCTTTCCCTTTGTAGGCCAGGTGCGTAACGCGCATACCGCTCACTCTAACACCAAATCGGAGCTAAAGAGAAAAAAGAGTGTGTCATACTGTAATTTGCTAATGCACTCGTGTAGCGTCTCTGCTTAACAGCAAAGCGTCTCTGCTAACACTCTGCGACCACTAGTATTTTATTCTTGAGCACACCCACAATCCATCTCTCTCACTCTCTCTCTCACACACACACACATACTACAGAGAAACTCATAATCTAAATTGAGATTTATAAAGTTCTCTAGATAGAGAAACAAACCCAAACAACTATTTGAACACCATTCACATCTCTCTCACTTTCTCTCTATAAACTCTCCTTTTTCTACTTGTGTATCTATAGTTCGATTCAGAACCCTAGAGAGAGAAATCAAGGCAAAGCATTTCGCCTCAAATCACACCCCTCTCGATATACCTATATAGATGTGTATTTATCTGTATTTTGCGTGTTTAGAGATTTGAAACACTACAGATTGTGTGCAAAGGAGGCTTAGGTATTTGATGTGAGAGGGATTAGGGTCAGATCGGAGATGGCGGAGTTTTCCGGCGAAGGAGGGGTTTCAAGAACGCCGGAGCTGAGTTTCGGAGATAATGATGGCAATGTACGGGCGACAGCAACGATTGACGCCATGATTGCGACGGGAATGGCCACTGCGACGCCGTTGACGGTGTCGGGATCGTTCAGGGACGGGAAGAGTGGTTCGTCGAGGAGGAGAGCTTCGGTGAGGCCAAGTTTGGACGCGGATGAGTTCATAAATTTGCTTCACGGCTCGGATCCGGTGAAGGTAGAGCTTAACCGGTTGGAGAATGAAGTCAGAGGTGAGGAATGCGAGTTGATCCGGCGATTCATTTTGTCGTTTTTGGTTTTTATGGTGGTTTGACAATACGGTATCGTTCTGTGTACAGATAAGGATCGAGAGTTGGGGGAAGCGCAAGCGGAGATCAGGGCGTTGAAGTTGTCAGAGCGACTCCGAGAAAAGGCCGTTGAAGAGGTTATGTTTATGTTATTGTTATGTTTTGTTTTTTCGAAATAGATCATTCTTTTTTCACTTTTTAAAGAATTGGAATCGGATTGAGTTTTGATAGTGTAATGAGTTCGTATGCCATAATTAGAATGTAGATTTGCAATTTCTGTCATAATGTGGAATTCGAAAAAAAAAAAACCTCCCAATGCCTATTTTCTTCAACTTTGAATTTTGTTTTCTGGCTTCGTATTTTTTCTATCTGAATAAGCTGGCGGTGTCCTCTTTATGATTTTCGAATTTCAATTTGACGTTGGTTGGATCAGTTAATAGTCTCTGTTTCCAATCATTTGAAACATCTAGGCAGAATTCCCTTTCCATTATATGGTTTTTAACTTGTAACCTGTGATCTTTTTTCGACTATGTTATTACTTCTTTCTGTCCTAATGCATGTTGTCATTGGGTTGTTGCTACGTGTATCTGGAAAATGCTTCCAAAGACTTTGCTTTGGCTTTTTTACCCCAGCCTAAATATATGTTTTGCTTGCTGAAGTTGTGATGATGCATTTGGGGATTCAGTTGTTCCTCTTGGGATGATACTGTCATAGCATTTTAGCAGTTGAACATAGTAGGTAAATTTAATATTGCATTAATATGCCAATGGTGGTAGCAGAACATTAGGTTGCCTTCTTTTTTAAAATTTTTCCGTTCGTCCTTATCATATGTTTCATTGAGTTATATTAAACTGTTAAATTGAAAGCTGACATAAGTTCCTCTTGCACTTTAGCTCACTGAAGAATTGACGAAGGTGGAGGGGAAACTCAAGTTAACAGAATCTCTTCTAGAAAGCAAAGTATGTAGTGAAGCTCTTTCATCTTCAATATGTTTCTATCTCAATTACAAAGCTATATTGAGTGACATCATTTTTTGGGCAGAATCTTGAAATTAAGAAAATCAATGATGAGAAGAAGGCCTCCATGGCAGCTCAGTTTGCAGCAGAAGCCACTCTTCGAAGGGTTCATGCTGCTCAGAAAGATGATGATATGCCTCCAATTGAAGCCATCCTTGCACCCCTAGAGGCTGAGCTCAAGCTTGCTCGACAGGAGGTATGCATTGTGTCCTGCTATTGGATGTTTAAGTCATAATTACTTTATAATTGCACTCTAGATGTATAGCAGGGACACATTTAGCTTATTAGGAAAAGCACCTCCATGAGGTCACAGATTTAGGTCCCTGCTACATAGCAGTTAGAAACACACAGAGCAACCATGATCACGCAGGATATTAACATGAAATGGGGACAAGCAAGAAGAACATTCTCAGTATTTAGAAACATAGAGCCACAAGAGTCACCTTAGAATAGGTGATTGTCTAGGATTTAAGCACTAATTTGTTGCTTTTGTTCCCCACAGATTGCAAAACTGCAGGATGACAACAAAGCATTAGATCGCCTTACCAAATCGAAAGAGGCTGCTTTACTTGAAGCTGAAAGGACTGTGCAGGTTGCCTTGGTGAAGGCTTCTATGGTGGATGATCTCCAAAATAAGAACCAAGAGTTGATGAAGCAGATAGAAATTTGCCAGGTATTGTGGTCATGCATGCTGTTTTCTTTTCCAGGACCGTCGCAACACTTTGGTGTATAATCTTTTCATTATTGTGTTTTCCCGCGTATTGGACTTGATTTGTCAAATGTATGTGTCAGGAAGAAAATAAAATTCTGGACAAAATGCACCGCCAAAAAGTTGCAGAGGTCGAAAAGCTCACCCAAACTGTGCACGAGCTTGAAGAGGCTGTTCTTGCTGGTGGTGCAGCTGCAAATGCTGTGAGGGATTATCAACGGAAAGTTCAAGAGATGAATGTAATATGCCATAGATATATCCATGCATCATGCTTGCCCATTTACATCCTCCTACCGGATGGTCTTTAAGCAATCTTCAATGTTGGAATTGTTTTTTTCCTGTGTCCAGGAGGAAAGAAAAACGCTTGATAGGGAGCTGGCTCGTGCAAAAGTAACAGCAAACAGGGTGGCGGTTGTAGTAGCTAATGAGTGGAAAGATGCAAATGACAAAGTGATGCCCGTAAAACAATGGCTTGAAGAAAGAAGGTTCTTGCAGGTATACCAGTTTGTAGTCGGTTGTTATATAGATATTTTGAACTCCATTATGCTGTTTCTATGGGGAAAAAAAGGATTGTGCCTGCTGCATAAAGACCCCCGCCTATACGGGTTTTGGGATAGTTCTAAGCCTTATCTCAATTTTGGAGAGGCTGTTTTCTGTGTTCGAACCCCAAATGTATCGCTTGGGTGAATGAGTTCTTTCCATTCCTTTAGGTCCAATGTGATGTATCTATTTGGGCAATTAAATTTTTTCTGTATTTCACTTCTGTAGTTTCTCCGGTCTGCAATTATAACTAACGTTTGTTGTCATAGGGTGACATGCAGCAATTACGGGACAAACTCACTATAGCTGAGCGAACAGCAAAATCTGAAGCACAGTTGAAGGTGACAATTTGGTTTCGTCATAGTGTGTCTACCTAAGGCTCTAAGCCATTTAACTATATTTTCTATAATAGTTTTGAAGATTGTATTTTTCTCACACGCTCCAGGAAAAATATCAATTACGGCTGAAAGTAATAGAAGAGACTTTGAGATCATCAAACACTAGCAATCGCAGCATTTCTGATGGAAGATGTGCAAGTAACGGTCCTTCACGTCGCCAATCCTTGGGTGGAGCTGATAACATCTCGAAATTGACCTCCAATGGCTTTTTACCTAAGAGATCACCATCCTTTCAGTCGAGATCTACTCTGTCTTCTGGTTCTAGTACTGTGTTGAAGCATGCAAAAGGAACATCAAAGTCATTCGATGGTGGCTCACGATCATTAGATAGGGGTAGAGCCCTCTTAAATGGAGCAGGTCCAAATTTTAATCTCAACCAGTCCTGTGAGGGGACTAAGGAGAGCGAGGCAAATAATAATTCCTGGGAAGGCAGCTCAGATGAAAAACCTAGTAACTTCCCAGCTACAGATACAGAGGATACAGTGCCGGGATTGTTGTATGATATGCTACAAAAAGAGGTGATTGCATTGAGGAAAGCTGGTCATGAAAAAGATCAAAGCCTTAAAGACAAGGATGATGCCATTGAGGTTGGTTCGTTTCTATTGAGTTACAATTCTTCTTAACATATAGCTTCTGCTAGATGTTCGGTTGTGACTCTTGTTTCTTAGATGTTGGCAAAGAAAGTTGATACTTTAACCAAGGCAATGGAGGTTGAAGCCAAGAAGATGAGGAGGGAGGTAGCTGTCATGGAGAAGGAAGTAGCTGCCATGCGTGTGGATAAAGAACATGAAAATAGGGCCAAGCGATTAGGAAATTCCAAGGGTCCTGTGAACATTTCTCAGCTCCTCCCAGTAAGGTATGCATGTATGCGTGTAACTGTGTATGCATATGTATATTCATATGAATATATACCACTTCACTTTGGCTACCAATCATATCACTGTACTTCTCGAAGCAAAAGCATTGGTGAAGACTCACACACAACCAAAATTGATAAATTATTAGCATCCAAACGGACCAAACCCTCCTGAAAATTGAAGTGTTAATATAGATCATATAGAAAACAAAATCATAAAATCAGAGACACACCCTAGCACATGCAGAGAAAGAGAGAGAGAGAGAGAGTTCACAATCGGATGCCAGAGCCCCAATCTCTCTCCTTCCTCTTTGAAAAATCTCAACACTTAGTT